AAAAAAAAATAACGCGGAATTTTTGCCCAGACGTAAGAAAATTCCTTGCTTCTAAGCAGCCTTCGAAAGAGGGAGCCATCGACAGCTTTGCCAGCAGGCGGTTGCTTTTGGTACGTGGTCACGCATCGGTTAAATTTTACCGGCAGCAAAGTTACTCAGTAGTCGAAGTGCTCAAAACTGAATTCATTTGAATTTTGCTTCCGTTCCCAACGTCCACACTTCCCTTCTTGAAGAGGGTCTAGATCACTTTGCTGTGAGCACAGCGAGAATGCTTGAACAGCCAGCAAAGTGGACATGCGATAAGCACTCTGGTTGACCCCAGTCAACGATAAAACTCTGAACAGACTTAAAAACCTGTCTCTTACAATGGTGCAGCTGCGTGCCCACGTAGAATAAGTCATTCAAGGAAGTACGCATAAAACTGTGCGATGACGAACCTTAAACCCATTGATTCGGTCAACATAAATTTTGAAGAACGGTTTAATGCTATGTGCTACTGATATGACGCTCGCTTTTAGCTCGAACCATCCGGTGGTGTTCGTCTTCGCAATTGCCAAAATCTGCTCCTCCGCTGAACGCATATTTTTAAAAATAGACTTCCAAAATTTCATTTCATCTCTTAGAGGCATTACTTTTTTAAAACAACTCAAGTAGCAGCAGACTGACAGCACCAGCCACACGCTGACACCGTTATCTGTGGTTCCTCCTCTTGAAGGTAGCGAGCTAGTGGCAAGTTACTTAGATGATCACTGATCACTTAAAACAAGCTAATGCCATTCGTACACCAGCAACAACGAATGAACAAATCGTAGATGATTGTTCCACTGGCAGAACAGCGTGTCACAACGATTTCAGTCCTCGGGTAACACCACCTGTTGCTGTACTAAACCTATTTGTTCCCATCTTCAAAACTACTGCTCTGGGTACTGTTAAAATTATTCAATTCAAAAAAAGCGGTTGAGAAAACAAACCAGTTCTGATGTTAATGCCCAATTTAACTTTTGTGTTAATAACATTCCGGAAGCCACATTTCACTTGTCCGCGTACCGCAATTGTCTGGCTTATCTCGGCACCTCCACTTCTTGGCACACATACAATTGCAGGCATGATAAACAAAAATGGCCAGCATACCGAAACTTCCTGAAGAAATCGGCATCAGTAGTTTTTTTATCAATGAATGATTAAATGCTCAGTATATCGGCTTAGCCAAGACAGTTGCGCTCAGTGTCTCGCCAATTTGACGCAGTTCGATTTCACTTTAGTTTCTAAGACGAAAAGTGACACCAGTCGCGTCAGATGTACTTGGTAAGTGTTCTTCCACATTCACTGGTGCCACGACATCTCTCTGTGAAAATGATGCCTAGAAGCAAGATGCATGCCTCTTTGTCTGATTCTGTTGTTATTCTCCCAGTATTGCACTAAATTTGGCCACTTTCTGGAATAACTTTTTGTTTCCAAGAAACTTAATTCTTTCCAAAGATATTTAAGCGCCGAAAAGATATCGCACATGCGAGGTAGTATATTTCACACAAAATTTTCATGTGGCTGTACTTTAGACCTAGATATATCTGGAATAAGTCTTCGGGTTGCTCAGTTCACTAGCTTTCGAAGTAAAAAAAAATCAGTCTTAACAGCAAGATTTTTATAGGGAAGGCCAGAAATTTTAAACCATTCAAGGCTTACCATTTTGCACTTAAATTTTCCAAGGAGTACGGACTGTTTGATGTTTGCAGTAGCCAAATGCAGCAGTCCAATTGCTTTAAAAAAGCTGTTAATTAGAAGTTGCTTCAGCTGTGTGCTGTGCTGCTTTCCGAGCACCTGGCATTCCAAGCTTGCAAAGATTATGACATCTCATCAATCACACTTATACACACATCGCGGGGGGGAGGGGGGGGGGCATCTCCCGCCTGTTATATCTGTGTGTTGCATTTTGTTTCTTCCTGCTTCTCAAAGTTCACCTTTGCCAGATGGATAGCAAAATTCATGCCCCCTTCCCTTCTTCTACCCCCTCTCCCTGACTCCATCTTTGCCCATTATCACCGCAAAAAACCGGCCGAGGCAGAATTCTGAAGCAGAAAGTTCACTACTTACAAATTATGCAAGTAATCCTAATGCAGGCAACAACAGAATCCTGGCTTCCTTTTTATGCGTTTTGTGCTGTGTAACAGCAGTACAAAACGCGTATTGTTACGGGGTTATTTGTGTGTGTGTTTGTGTGTGTGTGTGTCCGCAGCAACTTGTCCGCAACTTTCAACTCGGGAACC